ACCGTTGTTCTTGATGAGGCCCACGACTGTTGTGTCGTCTGTTGGTTCTACTCATTCATTTCTATTTGTTTGACTTGTTTTATCTTTTCTTTTTCTTGTATCATTTTATTTAACTTTTAAATATAACTTTTTTAAATACTAATTTCATTATATGATTTACAGTAGAAATGCACATTGTATAATTAAATGTCCTGGATGTTCATGTCTGTTTTCTGGTTGTTATTAAAGTACTTTTTAAGGTTGTATTTTATATATCTTTTCAGTATAAGTTACATACACAGGTCAAATTCATAGTTGCTTTAGTATTTATTTCTTTTTATTAAATTGGATGTATTTTTCGTTCTGCCTGTAACATTCTCATTAGTCTTGAACTGATTTCATGTTCTAAAATGCCTTACATATGGCCTAATAAACAACAATTTAATTAATTTATCATTATAATTAAAACAAGATGATTTATTTATTTAATTGGATTTTGACTAATCTGTTTACAACATGGGAACATTTATACATATATTTTATAATTTTATAGACTTATAGATGAAATTAAATTGAATTAATTTTCCTCTCCTAATCTAAACTTTTTATGATATTCAATGGCATCTTTGATATAATAAAAGTCAGATTATTTGTTATATTGTGTTTTTACACATTTTCACATCCTGAAAATTTAATTCAGCAAACTTCATTCACTTTTAAAGGCAGTGTTATTTTTGTTTTAATTTTCTGATTTTTCTTTTTCTTTTTTCTTTTATTTATTGTGTTTAGTTTCCTGAAATAGTTTCAGAAGTGTTTCCTGTTTCCTTGTGTTGGTGAAACACCGCCCCCCGCTGGCTGTTCATCAACATTAGTTTCCATATTCAGGTTCAAATTAGTATATTATTATTATTATTATTATACACTAAATAAATTATTATTTTTTTTTACCAGATTTGTGTTGTATTCATTTATTTTGTTAATTTTAACGACATAAAATAGAGTGAGAGTCACAATATAGTTGATACATTTGCTTCATGAAACCATTTTTAAGACTGGATGGGTCATAATTATATTAAAGGTAACATATATGACATCATGTCAATACATATATGTATTATATCAGCAAACAAATATCAGCTGTGAGTTGGTGATTGTTTGAAGTGTGTTTTACCTGTGAGGTAAAATTCATTCTTTTGTCAATGGAGCCTGGTTGGCTGTATTGTTTTGGTCTGAGATTCTGGTGCTTTAGTGACATCGAGTGGAAAATGAATTTCATACATAAAATCTTTAATAAAACACTTTTACTTTATAGGAATTATAAATATTAATAAGTAGGGCATTAAATATATTTAAATGAATCAGTCAATTGTCAATTTATAAATGACTTTATTTATGATTTGTCAACTTTATGAATATAATTATCTTCAATATATAAACCTTCAACATTATTGACTGAAATTTTAAGTTTTTATTTGTGATCAGATGAAGTTTTACAGTTTTAACACACAGCTTCACTCCCACTAAAAAAAACATTAAATTACTGTTAAATTAAGTGTCACATGAATTTGTTTCTGACGCCAACACTCATAACAACCTGACAAACAGCAAAGCAATATTATCAGTGATAACACATGGTGCGTTCAGGGGCCTCTGGGTCAGAAATTGGTCCCTAAAATGAACTCAAATATATCTCAACTCAACCTCTAACATAGTCTTTATCAGACTTTTAAATCAAAATGTACAAAAAGTTTTTAAATTTTATATTTACGTAAATATATTATATTTTTACAGAAAACACATCATCAACAAAATAAAAACTACAGGAAACGTTTCAGATTGACGCCCAAGGTGGCACCATGATATTATTCTCAATTTATTTACTATTGCTTATTCATTATTTCTTGACCTGAACCCACAAAAGAGTTTCATACAAAGGACTAGAGTTCATCTTCATGAAAGTGGCAAAAAAAACGATTAACACAGCTTCAGCCAATCCACATTCATTCTGTGTGACCTTTTTTTTTATTATTATACTTATTTGTCCACTTGGGGGCAGCAAAGAAAACCATGTGTTGTTGTATGTATCTGCAGTGAAATCTGACATTTTAGGCCACAACAATCTGAAAAATTAATCCTGGAGTGAGAAACAAAGAGCAGAGGGCAAGAAGTCTAAGAAATTCAGATATTTCAATAAATACAACAAGAGTGTCGTGGGATTTGTGTTTATACAAGATGCTGTGTGTCTCTCCCGGAGTTTACATGCTGACCTACATCGTCTCTTTTCTGTAAGAGAAAGAAATAAAAGGAACAATGAGCAGACGGAGGAGATGAACAACGAGAGTGAAATTGTGTTTGTGTTACCTGTCAAACCATCTCGTACTGGTTGGCGTTGATGAAGCGAGACAAACAGCATGCCAGAGACATCCCGATCAACTGAGACAGACAGATACAGAGGGGTTCATTTTCAATGCAGGACTTTGTATAGTGTCGTATTTGGTAGTATTCAGTTTCATTCTGTCTAGATTTTGTGTCATACCTGAGAGAAGGCAATGCCAAAGGTAACACCAGCGATGATTCCCATGTTTCCCTCTATGAAGGACGTCACCAACTCATAACAACCCTGCGGACACAGGTCACAGGTCACCATGCTAACAGACTGAGGCTAAAGCTAACAGGTCCCAGGTTATGATACCATGCTAACAGGCTAAAGCTTCCCACCTGTTTGTGGACTTTGTGAGCAGCCAGAGTTGCGTTCTTCAAGTCGGCTGAGCTGCAGTCAGAGAAACTAACACAGCAGCTGGCAGGAATCCCACTGACCGGAAAATACACACTGCTGAACCAGCTGGTGTAGTTATAAACTCCACAGCAGTGTAGCTGCAAAGACAGAAAGAAGATTAATAACCTGTGGGTGTTGATTTAACTGTACATTTATCACTGTATGTGAGGGTCTTATGGGTTGTCACATTGTTAGGAATACATTCTGGTGGGACAGGATGCCAAATTCTTATTTGTACTTGATCTTATTGCCACAACTACTTTTTGAAGTGATGATACATCAACACACAGTTGGGTTTCCAGCTTGTTTTTTTTGCTGCCCCCAAGTGGACAAAAAAATAAATCAATTCAGGTTTACCCACATAGCTTTAGTTGCCGAAATACAGTCCAAGCCTAAAACACTCAAATGAAGTAAAACAAAGGAACTAGCATGTTCCCATATAAGCTTTATTGTAAAAAATGTAGAGGACCAAGCATAGAACCCTGCGGAACCCCACAGGTAACTATGATCGTGTTGTGATCCTGTATGTGGAAGTAAGCAACTGTTTGCTAATATGTTAGCCAAACCTAATTTATAAGCCTAAAATATGCCAGTGATACATTTATAGCTTGTTCTTAATAAAGTGCAGTAATTAAATGAACCTGGGTGAAATAAAATCAGCTTTAGTATTACATGAAGAAAAAGAGAGAGAGGTAAACTTACTCTACGTTGAACACCGTCCACAGCCAGACTCCTGTCGTCTCGTCCGTCGTATCTCGTCACTGCTTCGCTGTACGTCGTGAGGAACGTCCCTTTAATCTAAACACACACACACAGTACGCAGTCAGTATGAGCCGTGCTGTCGGGGTAAAAGTGTTGCCTGTGGTCTGAAATAACCTCGTGGCGAAAGACAAATCCAGAGATTCCAGCGATGAGTTCAGTCATGAAGACCAGAGATAGGAACGCGGCGTACTACAGAGAGGTCGGAGGTCAGAAGTCAGAGGTCAGGTTAATAAAGATTATAGTGAAGTCATACTAACAGACTGTGGCTAAAGCTAACAGGTCCCAGGTCATTATATCATATAGTATATACTGACAGGGTATTTTTACAGTTTGGTATCAGTACTTTAACTTAGGTTAATGATGTGAACACTTCCTCCAACACTGCTCATAATCTGATGGACACAGACCAGTTTCAGCATCCAGGGGCGCCCCCTACAGGTAGCGAAGCAGCCAAACAGTCCGAACAGCACGATGGCGACTCCGGTGCCGGCGAGGATGTACGGAGCGTTGGAGGGGCCGCTGGAGATCAGCAGCATGTAGGGGCCCAACATGAACTTCCACCACAAACCCACCGACAGCAGGACAACACCTGTCACCTGAGGGGGGGGGGTACAAGTCAGACCGTCAGCCAATGAGGAGGCATTTAACCTGTGTGTGCGTGTGAGTGTGTGTGTGTGTGTTGAGCAGTGACTCAGTGTCACATGACTCTGTAATTAACTCTGACAGTGAAGTGATAAACTGACAAACAGACGGGAAGAAGAAACGAGTCGGAGCAACAGACTGTAGTACACACACTACTGTATACACTGTATGTATTGTACTGTATCTGTATATACCATATGTACACCTAAAACAGGAGAAGCAAAACAGTATGAGAAACCAGATGAAACAATAAAGAAAATATAACAAAAAACAATTTAAAAAAGGTGACAAAATAAAAATAAAGAAACAGTAAAACAATAAATAGTTTTGTGTTTATTGTTTATTTTCATGTTTTTGCCGATTATTATGTTTGTGAATCTAAATAGTTAGAATTCATCCATTAATGTAAACATACACATACATACACACATATATATATTGAGGTATTTACAGTATTTACACTGATACTTGTTGATAAGCTATAAGGATAAACAATAACAAACCCACTATTTTTGACAAATAAAACATGAAATTAAACAATATCTTTATTTTAAAGCATGAACTGTGTTTTACCAATTCTGTCCGGTGGTTTGAAAATGATTGTAAACTTATATTTTGGAAGTTGACGGTGATTAAAGGTGATTAATATAACATCAGGGAATGTAACTTTAAATTTAAGAAACTCCGATTAATGTATCGTTGGCGGATTAAAACTAACATTTGTTTGTTTCTGAATAGTTTACGTTTCAGTTTTTATCTGGACACTCTGTCCCGTTAATGTGGTTTATGAGGACGTCAGGTTTGTTCAGGTTCGGTGCATCAGACCAGCTGAGGGATGAAAGATGGGATGCTGCAGGGAGATGAATGAAGGAGGTGTTTGATTTTGACTCGTCCCGCTGTGCCTGTGTGAGCGTTTCAAACAGAGTGTGAGGCTGTGATGTTAAAACGCTCGACGTCTGGAGACGATAAGGAATAAAAGACGTTGTTTGTGCAGCAGGCGACAGATTGTGTTTGTGAGACTCAAAAATCTAACTTCACTTAAGCAACAAATAACATCTTTAAAATCCACAAAAACAGTCTGACTTCTCAGAAAGTCACCGCAGATTAAATATTGATCAAATATCAGTATGATTATTAAAGATACTAGTTTGTTAATTTTTTGTCTAAAACTATAATGCACTGAGCTTGTTTCTTCTTTAGTAATAATTTAATTGTAAAAGGGTCAAAATGAGGAAAAAAATCAAACAACAAACAGTAACTTTAAGAAATCTAAATAAAAAACAATGAACATTTAAATACCGACAGGACGAGACAGCAACCAGGACTAAACAGCAGCCTGGACGAGACAGCAACTTGTGCTAGGCTGCAACATCCTGAGCGACATCCAGAACTAGGCTACGATGTGGTCAGGCAGCAATCAGGAGACAACAGAGTCGATTTAAGTTCTGAATGTATTGATTGTCTTATTAACGTGACTGAGATCATTTATTCGACTGTTACTGACAGTATTTCTTATTTTTGTCGGTGTTGTATTTTCAGGTCTTCATTATCGTCTGTGTGTCACAGCTCCGGCATCCTCCTCATTCCTCAGTGCAGATAATTACTGAACCTACTCTGACAACTGACCTCTGACCTGTAACTGACCTCTGACCTCAGCACTCCTCACTCCTGATATCTGACATTATATACCATGTTAAAAAGGATTTTAACTATCACTAAACTATAATAAACAATGCTATTTGCTCGATGGTGATGAATCTTTAGTATCATCATCCCAATAACTTTAAGAAAAAAAAGCTGATGTGAAAATGTGATAAAAAAGATGAGTAAAAAGTGTTTTCTCACCCAGAAGATGAAGGAGTAGAGCAGCAGCAGCGTCTTCAGACAGAAGATCACCGGTTTAGTTTCCATCCTCCTGGGAGCCATAATCCAACTGAAGACCAGGACTCTCTCTCACTGGGTCTCTTTAGTCTCCCTCCCCTCCTTTATTCCTGAGTCTCTCTCTCTCCTGCTCTCTCTGAAATTCACAACAATTCAGTAAATCTTGGAACACTATCAAAGTCAGTGAACAAATGACCAAACTGTTACTAAACACTGGCATAAAAACTGTGCAGAAAGAAATGAAAATGGTCCAAAAATTCAACGAAACGGTATAAAATTAAAAAGAAATCTTAAAAGAAAGGAGAGAACAAAAAATGCTCACAAAATTACAGTTTAAAACGAAGATGGTTGTACGATCATGTGAGACAACAAAAATGTACAAATATGGACTAAAAACAGCACAATTAAGGCAAGAAATGTGCAAAAAAAACTTAAACAAAAAGGGACAAAATGTCACAAAAACCCTGAAACGTTACAATATCTGCACACATTTTGGGAAACAGTGGTGTGAATATTGCACTAAAATTGCACCAAAATAAAACATATAAAATTGTAAAACAAATAAATACAACAACAAAAAATTGCAATCATGAAACAAAAGAGCAAAAAAAGCACAAAAAACTTGGTGTTTGGAAAACAGTGGAGCAAATATTAAAATGGCACCAAACAATTGTACAAAAATGGCAGCCGTATACGGGTGGGACCCGACTTACATTTGGTGCCAGAACACAGCCGACTGTACCGACAATCTGCCCAACGTTATTATTAAATTATCATTATTAAATAAAGATCTTACCTGCCAATTCAGCAGTGGGCACTAATTTAATAATCAGCAAATATCGGATCGGTAATCCTCAGTAATGTCTGAATGTAAGAAACCCGCAGTGGCAGCAAAGTTTCTACAGTCCGAATGAGACACAGAACAAACATGTGACCCTCATACTTCACGCTCTGACCACACAATTTACAAGGAGGTGACCCTGGGGGAGTCCGGCCCACTGTGACACCTCACCGCGAAGGTCCACAAACCCTCCCATCAGCCATCACTGCTGCAGCCAATCTATTCTTATTCTCTCTGATGTTTGCTGTTCATCTGGAATAAACTCCACAAACTCCACAGAGCAGCTTTAACTAACTGTCTTTGGCAGAAATAAATGGAGGGAAAGTCCAGAAAATCGATCCAAACTTTTATTTCATTCATTTCATATAACATAACAGTGATCAGTTAATTCACATATTTCATTTTGTGTGTATACAGCTGAAGTCTAAGTGTAGCACCAATCAGTTTATTACAGCTGTGAGGAGCTGAAATATTAATATTTCATCAGCGTATCAGTCATGTACGTTTTTTTATTCCCCAATTGCTTTATGCCGCTGACCCTCAGTGAGAGACAGCGTGTTACTGCTCCGACAGGCAGGAAACAAACACTGCGCGCGGATGTAGTTCCACAGATTGTCCAGTGAGTGTCAGCGGTGGTCTCTTCTGTCTCTGTGGGTTGACGTCCTAGACCTGTACAGACCAGGGCTTAAAGGTTCCGGGTTCTGCAGGAGGACACTGCAACAGAAAAACAGAAGGCGATACAGTATTTCCTGTGTGTACGGTAGCTTGAGTTCTAGGCCTCTTGGTGTTCCTCCACATTAGCAGAAAGACTACGATACCATATGTATGACTATTTGATCTGCTGATTTTAGATGAGCTGATAATACTTTCCTAATACTCTTCATACTTTCTTGTCAGTGCCCAATCCTTCCTGAGGAGTGTCTCTATTAATAACTGAAACCAACACAGACAGATTTTTGAGCTTTCGTACCAGTTTGGTGAATCGGTCACTGCAAGCATTGCGGATCCTCTCGGCAGAGGCGGGGCTGTCTAGCCTGAAGGGGCCGCTGATGCCTGACTCCGCCCGGGCGGCGCTGATGGCATCTTTGATGGCGTAGAAAACCGATGCTGCCAGAAAGAGAGGAGGCTCGCCCACAGCCTGGAGAGAAAAGCGTCCCAGATAAATGTTCTCTGTAAATGCTACTGTGTTTAAAATGTTCTCCACAGCATTGGTGGCGTTACCTTGGAGGCGAAGATGGCTTTGTCATTCGGTGCGTCGCGGAGCAGTGAGACAGTAAGCTGGGTGGGAATGTCACCGAAGGCCGGGATCTTATAAGAACCAGGACCCCGAGTGAGTAGGACACCCTGGGGGGAATAATGAAGCTCCTCCAGGGTGAAGAGACCCAGACCCTGCATGAACGCCCCCTCCACCTGAAGAGACACAGAGATGCCAGAGGTCATAAAATCTGCTTTAGTTAGTTTTCCAAAGACTGATTCCTTTACTGATTGACCCACCTGTCCGATGTCTATAGCTGGGTTGAGGCTGTGACCGACGTCCATCACGATGGTGGTACTCAGGTTCTACAATACAAACATAACATACAATAAATTATAATAAATATAATCTCCATAATATTTAGCATCTTGTCCAAAGGCTGCGGCAGGTGAATGGATGTTTAATTCAGATTTACATTGGAGATGTATTTGATTGGATTTTACTGAATTAACTCTTCATAAGCCCCGCCTCTATTTGTTCTGTGCACCAATAACAGTTGAGCAAGCCTCGGTCAACTTTCTCCTTTCCTGTACTTATATACTATATATATACTAGATAGATAAATGAGACAATTTAAGTTTGCTAATGTTACCAAAACACTAGCTAACTACCAAGCTAATTTACATTAATTGTTTGCAAACTACTACAAACACTGGATAATTGCTTTGCTGAAATTACCTTGAGATGTGACTGCTTGTATTCACTTTTATCTTTTAACCATCTTCAAAATGTAGTTGTCTTTTTCAACTAGATTAAGCCTGACATACATATCTAAGTACAGGAAAGGAAGTAGACTGAAATTCCAAAAGGGGCGGGGATAAGGAAGGGTCAGTGCCCTTATGTGGATATATATGTGGACAGAGAAAGTTGCATCAGTGCTAGCCTCGTCTGTGTTAGAAAGACAACCACGTTCTAAAGATGGTTAAAAGATAAAAGCAACAAACATAATCACATCTTAAGTTAGCAAAATGTCTGGAGATCTTTAAAAGCAGACTGGGACTGGTTCCCAGGGGTGCCAGTTACCTACAAGATGGTATCATCGGCATATAGTAAAGTATAGTAAAGTACATAACACAGAAGCCTAATATTGATCGTTGTTTTCATATTTATTTTTGTAGCTGAACATTTCCTTCAATAAATACACACCTTGTGAGCTCCAGTCAGGCAGTCGATCTCTACCTCTGAAGAAGCCACCCCGTAGCTGAAGTAGTTAAACGCTCGGCCCGAGTTCGAGTCGAAGTCATAACCGAGATCTGGAGTCCTGATAAGAAACAGAAAAATGTAAATAAAGTCTGTCTGGGACTTTATTTATCAGCAGATTTACTGAACCGGCGACTCCCTCATTGAACTCACTTGTAAAAGCCATTTGCACTGAGGTTTACTCTGTCGAAATACGCTGCTTTCACCTGAAACAGACAGAAATACACCACGACCATTCAAAACTGGAAATGTGGACAGATTAAGTAATTAAGGGATTATAGTAGCGATATTACTACAAGTACTAGCATATATTCTTAATACTTCAGCTCACCCAGTCCTCCCATGTCCCTTTGGGGTTATTGGTCTTGTACAGTTCCAGACGTTTCATGAGGGTCTCACAGGCGTTCTGCACGGCAGCTCCATTGAGGTCTGAGGAGGCGGAGGCAGCCGTGGGGCTGGTGTTGGGGACCGTGTTGGTGCTTGTCTCTGAGATGTGGATCTTCGAACAGGGGATACCCAGAACCCTGCTGGCAACCTGGACGCAAAAACTGTTTGTTAAGACTTTTGTACTTAAGTACAGCATTCGTTAGCTCAAGTGCAACATTAATGGCTGAATGAAAGGTAGGAAATCAAAAGGTGAAATTAATGAGCTAAAAACTGCATATTGGTTTGTTAAGCTCAGGTACCTGGACCATCTTGGTGTGGAGTCCCTGTCCCATCTCAGTCCCACCGTGGGTCAACAGCACCGAGCCGTCTGTGTAGATGTGAGCCAGAGCTCCGGCCTGCAGACACAAAGAGAATGAGGTACAAACCATCCAGCATCAAACTGTTCGTTAGTCAATGTTGTTGGGTCAGACCTGGTTGAGGAAGACAGCGGTGAAGCTGATGCCAAACTTGGTGGGGACGATGGCGAGGCCTCGTTTGGTCCACCGGTTCTGTCTAAAATTAAAACAAAGAAATTTGTTCGACAACTCAACAGTCTCAGAACTCTTCAAATTCATCTCTTAAGGCAGTGGTTCCCAATCTGTGGATCAGGGTGGTGTGTACGGTGTAGAACTTGAAATACTTCCACACGCTGCTACTCAGATATTTTGGTGCTGGGACTCTCCATTCAGGATTGCTTTGCTCGCTACTGTCCACCATGTTCATAGTAAACAACATAACATTATTAGCTTAGTTAGCTTACAGGTCAGTAGGTCGGGCTGATAGTGGAGAGCTCTCTACTGGATCACAAGGATACCTACTTCAAATTACCTAACTAGTCTGCGAACAATTAATGTAGATTAGTTTGCAAGCGTTTTGCAAACTTAAGATGTGACTGTGTTGTGCAGTTTTGAATTTGAAACAGGTCATTAAAGTTCAAAAAGTAACTTAGTTCCTGTTGTCAGACAGTTTTATCCAAACCATAAATCCTGGTTCCGGGACCTTCCGTTGGACTGTTTTTACTTGTTGTGCTCAATAGTGCTTTTACCTGTTGTAAAGGTCGACGGCGGCTCGGCGTTCCTGGTATACGGAGCGTGACAGGCACTCATCCCAGCAGCGGTCCAAGGTGAACTGATCCAGGATCTGGTTGTAGGGTGTCAACTCCCCTTCCACATACAGGTTCAACCGACGCACCTGCAAGAGGACGGAGTCACTGACTGGACGCTACTCACCAACCAGCGTGTCTGACTTTATTCATCCACCTACATACCTCCTCTGACGGCTTGCCCAGACTCTGCGCCACATCGTTCATCCAGCTCTCGGTTACCATCATGCCTTGTGGCCCTCCGAATCCCCTGAAGGCTGTATTGGACGGCAGGTTGGTGCGGCACAGGTAACCCTGGCCGCGTACATTGGCTACACTGTACGAGTTCTCCATGTGGAACAGAGCTCGCTCCAGGACCTCAATGAACACAGACAGGTGATAACATCAGTACGTCATCAGCATATAGTGTCATAATAACTCAGTTAGTAAAGATACTCACTGATAGAGAGAGGTCCATGGAGTTTCCTGTGTTGCTGTAGTACGACACGTCCAGAGCCACGACCTTACCACTGTTTAGATAACCCACCTAGAGCAAGAGGAGAAGAAGTGATTAGTAAAGTTTCAAGACTGAAGCTACAACAATCTAGATCTAAACTGACAAAGATAGCAAAAGGTAGGCTACGTAGCTAGCTAACAATTAGTTAGTCAGCTATCCCACCTTGTATTTTCCATAAAAGGGGTGTCTTCCTCCAGTGATCAACATGTCCTCGTCTCTGTCCAACATACACCTCACGGGTCTCTTCAGCCTGACACAAGAGAGCAGGAAATGATGATAAACATACATTTCATTTCAAAATAAGAACCTCTAATTAAAGGTGACTGTCAGACGTACTTGTTGGCTGCCACGGCGACCACAGTGGACAACACGGTGGTCCGGCTCTCCTTCCCGCCGAAGCCTCCCCCCATCCTCTTCACCCGGACCACCACCCTGTTAGCGGGGACACCCAACGCCTTCGCCACCAGAGACTGATGGAGACACACACCGCCGTTCAGTTACAGTATTGTTGATACCTGTGTTTACCTGAGTATAATTACCTGTGTTTTGCAGTATTATTACCTGTGTTTTGCAGTATTATTACCTGTGTTTTGGAGGCAGATTGTGTAGAAGCAAAGACCTCCATCTCTCCGTCCTCTCCTCGGGGAACAGCCAGAGTGACATTTGTCTCCAGGTAGAAATGTTCCTGACCTCCAATGTGCATCTCACCTGTCAATAATCAATTGATAATTAGTCAGTGATGAATAACTGATGATCGTCTGAAATCAGTACGAAATCCTACACACAGACGTTCCTACCTTCCAGGATGTGGTCGGCCTGTTTGAACCCAGCCTCCAGGTCTCCCTTCTGGATGGTTCTGATTGGCTGATAGAAGGACTGGGCGGCGATGGCTTCCTGTCAATTAAACAAACAACAGATTTATTATAAGATTTATAATTAACATGCTAATATTAGCCAGATTCAGTGGTAACAAACAAAATTGTGGTTTTTTTTATCTTGTTTTCACTGTTTTTGTTATCTGTAGCCTTGTTAAGAAAGGTGCAATACAAGTAATGTTTATTATGAAACAAACCCATAATGGCTAACTGTAGGCAAACCTAACAGTAATGCTAATGGGGCATGTTGCTTCTTAGCATTAGATGTTCCACTCTCCTGCAGCTCATTTGGAAACTTTGTCTCATTTTACAAAAATAGTCCACTTGCTTGCTCACTAACATTATGGCTAACAAAATACTATCTCACCTGGATGGTGACGACCGCCGGCAGCTCTTCATATTGGATCCTGACGGCTTTGGCGGCTCTCTGAGCGTGAAGCTGAGTGTCGGCCACCACGGCGCCGATGATGTGACCCACACAGGTCACCTGCACAGAAAACAGAAACGTCACCAACCTGGACATCAAGCCGTCAGAGTCAGCTGATTGGTCGGACAAACGCACCTGGTGGCGGGCGATGACGGTCTCGTCATATACGATTGGTCCGGTGGCATTACTGCCAGGGATGTCATCGGCAAACACGCAGCACACAACGCCGGGCATCCGCTCTGCTGCTGAGCTGTCTATAGAGCTGGGACACACACCTGTGTTAGACAGGACAGGTGTGTGTGCTGCACAGGTGTGTGTGTGAGGTGTGCGTCTTACAGGATGTTGGCATGTGCTTTGCTGCTGGTGACGAGCGCCAGGTAGAGCTCGTTCTCGTACAGCGGCACGTCGTCGCAGTAAACTGCCTCGCCGGTTGCCTGCTTCAGGGCCGACAGGTGCATCATGGGGCGGCCCACCGCGTCGTCCTGGCTCCGCCCCTCCGGCACCGCCTGGAGAACACATGTGACACTGACACACCTGGATGCTAACGCTGGGACTGTAACCGAGTTGTAAGTGTGGTTACCTGGTAGATCTGAACACTGGACGGAGTCTCAGGATGGTAAATCTCTGCGGCGCTCAGACAGTTGGCCCCGACCTCGGCCACATTCACACCCTGACGGACAAAACATCAGAACAAACCGATTCAGTGAAAGATCCAGATAACCTTATTCAGCATAGCTACCCTTATTGCTAGAATGGATTTTAGGTTGAACCTGCGCTCTGAGCTTCTGCAGCACCATCAGGTAGAACTTGTAGAAGAGGCTGAGGGTCAAAGTTTGCCGGTATGTCACCATGCCGCCTGGCGCAGAGGGGTCGAGGGTCATCTCCTCAGCCAATGAGGAGCACGGCCTTCTTCCAGGTAGCTCCTCCCCCCACCGCCTGGTGCTGACATCAGAGAGAGTTACGTCCTTCCTTCTTCTGGTTCTTACATTCTAAAACAATCTGCGTGGGTTACCTTCCCAGCAGTCTGCTCGCCGTCTTCTTCGCCAGTACGGTGGTCGCCGCCATGCCGCCGTAGCTGAGGATCAAGTCCTCGACAACGTCGGTCCCGGGAGTTATGGTGACGCTCATTGCCGCCGTAACGATGCTGATGTCGTCCTCGCGGCGAGGAGACTGTTTGAAGGCCGAGACGAACTGATTCTGAAGAGGGAAAACACCAGTGTCAGTCTGTTGCTAGGTTACTGACAGCCGTTGCTAGGTGACAGACGCTGTATCTACCTTTTTGCTGTACGGGATCTCTACGGACAGCAGGACCTCCTGCGGTCGCAGAGTCGTCTTCCTGTAACCTGTGAAGAAACTGTCGTCCATCTGAACCACACGACTGCCATCTGACAGACAGACAGAGGTTATTGGTCAAAGGTCAGAAGGTTTGGAGTTCATATTCATGTCCCTGTTTACAAACTGTAGTAAAACCTTAAACATCAGCAGAATAACTCTGTAATGCTGCCTTTAAGGGCAGTAGGATATATGATAACTAGTCATGTAAATAGGACAATAAAAGTCTTTGTGATGAAAGTTGATCACAAACCGTGATATAAACTTATATAACGAGTGTTTACAGGCAGACAGAGTGACTCAGCAGCTTCGAGAGAAACAAGAGCCTTCAGATTAAAGGTCACCTGAACGCCTCCTGACAAATATGGAGCAAGTAAACACACCACGACAACACACGGGTATATTTCTAAGTGTCGTACAGTATCACGACTTTATATGAAGTATCCAGATAAAGCACCTGTCAAAATAAACTTTTAAAATTTCAAAATAAAATACAGACTAAAGATGAGTTTATAACAATTTAAAGGCGTGTGTGTTCAGCAGTTTTATCTGTGAACTCTGATCTCAGTAAAAAACAGATTCCTGGAATATACACACAGATGAATGTGTGTGTGTGTGTGTGTGTGTGTGTCTGTGTGTACCTTTGTCCATCAGTGTGAGTTTGCAACCGGCCGCCATAAAAACAGGGTTGAGGTCTGAAATGGGGCTGGCTGTCATGATGTTCCCACCAACCGCCTGAAAACACAAAAACACCATGATGATGAAACACTGAACACAACACGATGAGAATATATAACACAGAGGTTTTTATGGACAGAAATATTCTTTAGGTGATGTTCTGTGTGATATGTGGGTCCTTTAGGCAGAGATGAACTGGCTCTGTGTATTTACTGGAAATAAACTATGGTTTGACTCACGGCTACATTGCGTATCTGCAGTCCGGCGAACCAGCGCAGTTGTTCCAGGACAGCGAGAAAGACTTCGGTCTGATGAGGAGGAAGAGTCTTCACCATCTCCTTCAGCACCGCCCCCATGTGGCTGAGAGTGCACCCCGCACCAAAAACGACACCTAAAACACACAAAAACACTGTTTCAGTCTCGTTTTTAAATGTTTATTCTGACTTTAAGCCGTGCTAGCATAAAACATGAAAGTTTGGGTCAGGTTCATAGCCAATTTAGCCTAACAGTCAATAATGAAGGAAATCAAATCAATCCTATATTTGAAATATAATGTCATATTTTTTGCTTTTTGAACAGTATTATCACTCACCGTCCTCAGTGTACGTCACTGTGTTCAGTTCGGGGATGAAGGCTGGAGCTAAGATAACTGGGTACACCATGTTCTTAAACTTCACCTCGATACCTAAGAGCCCACAGCGAGTGAGTGAACGAGTGAGTGAACGAGTGACTGAATAAATGAATAAATTAATGTATGGATAAATGAATGAATGAATCAGTGTTTATGAGCGACAGACTGACCCACTTCAGTGTTTCCCACCACCACTCGGGCGTCTGGATGTTCCCATTTCAGACGCAGAAACTCTTCAAGGCTGTCGGGCTGCAGCCACACCGCCCTGTTGCCACGGAAACACAGCGAGCCCGACCTTTGACCTTTGGTGAGAGACTAGATAGGAAGAAGGAGAGAGAACAAAACAACAGCGTTTAGATTGTTGTTTATTATTTTTTGTCTTCTGTTTGGGGAAAAAAACAGTGAAAATCTTGCAACTACAGTTCCCATAATTCTTTGGGGGTATAAACAGGAAGTATGTACCACCATTAAATTATGCTGAATTAGCTGTTAGCAGTTCCCGTTTGCTTTACACTAAAGTAACAGTAAATATAAGTTTCATGGGGACTTTAAAAGGAAGTGAAAATCACACTGAATCTAAAAATACATGTCATGTGTTCAGGTATGACTCAAAGAAATATATAAATTATATATACACTATATACGTTTATATGCAGATGATATCCTGGTTTATATCGCGATAAGTTCAAATTCACTTAATTTAACAACATAAAAAGTTTAAAATCTGCCACTTGATAATGAGTGTTTGTGTTTTGGTGTGTGTGTGTTTACCATGAGCTCAGGAGGGAAGATGACCTCCTGCGTGGGGTCAAAGGGCGCAAAGTTGGTTGCGGTGAACAGCGTTGTGGCTTCCTGCACAAAAACACACAGTTTACAGTCAGAAACATGTTGGTTTGAAATCGGTTTGTATAAAATAACACCTTAGACTTACGTCAGTGTCTTCCTCTGAGCTTTTCTCAGCTCCGTTCCCATTGGCCATACAGCAGCCGTTCTCCCGCCCCCTGCCGCCACAGCACCCCCCCTCCTGGAGGAACAAACAATGTATGAATGAATCAGACTCGTGGCTCAAAAGGTGGTGTATGTACAGGTAAACATGTCTGTGATTTGTTGTGTGCTTTGAAACACACCAACTGTGTTTGTGTCTCACCACAGTGAAAGTTTTGTACCCCTCCAGTATCGGTCTGTATCCGGTGCAACGACACAGATTTCCTGCAAAAAATATGATTTCCTTAGTGCTGTCAGTGTAGATCAGAAACGTTTTTAATGTAATTTAAGGGCAGTTCTAGCTACTAATAATAATAACTACATTTAACAATGCTAAGCGGTCTCTGACAGTACCTTGGAAAGCCTCCTCAACATCGGCCATTTTGGGTGTGGGGTTGTTCCTCAGCAGGGCGTACATGGACATGACGATCCCCGGAGTGCAGAACCCACACTGAGAGCCGTGAGCCCTCGCTATTCGCTCCTGAAACATTTAAAAGATTCTGTTGTAAAACGTGTTAAAACACACTGAAGATCCGGAACCTTAAAGCTGCGTTAATCAACAATGAATCATAAGTTACTACTGAAGCTACTGAAATCGTTGTCAGCTTGTTGTGCAGAGGTCAGTTGATGCCTTTGAAAAAGAAATGAAATGACGCCGCAAGGAGCCCTACAGCATCATGAAGTGGAGGACCCAGCAGCAGCACGTACGTACGAGTTCAATGTGTGTCTTACCTGCACAGGATGTAATTTTCTTGCCACGCTGCCGATACCCTCCACGGTCGTCACGGCGACCAGGTGTAGGGAGCAGAGGGGGGCGAGGCAGGCGTTGACGGCGTAGTGACTGGACCGGAGTTAAAGACTGTTAATCTGCTCACTGTGAAATCAGTTTGTCATCATTGAAAGGTTTCAGATGGGAGCACATGACGGGACGCCTTATCAGCATGCACACACACACACACACACACACACACACTGTTTAAGGATACAGCAGCTGTTGAGTGTGTGTTTGGTATCTGGAGACCATGACGGTGCAGGCTCCACAGCCGCCCTCAGCACAGCCCAGCTTGGTTCCTGTTAAACCCACTGAACACACACACACACACACACACACACAGTTTACAGTGGATTCACTGAATCATTGACGGCGACGCGTGATTGTCCTCAGAGTCCAGTCACGCTGTGGGAGACACACTCTGACCTCCAGGCCGTTAAAGACTAAACTGACTGTTTCTACTGTAAATGAGTCCATGACCATAACAGGAGTCCTCGATTCAGACAATACTGGACTCTATGTGGACACCTGGGAGTCTGTTCTCGTAGAGATGTTAGTCCTTGAGGAGGTCCCATTGGTCAGGGGGTCTCTGAGATGGTTCCAGGTTTGTAGGACCCATGTAACCTGTTTTCAGGGGCCTTCATCAGCAAGTCCTAAAAACTTCTCCAACCTCCTCAAGGACTCTCCAGGTGCTTCAAAACCCTGTTACACAGTTCGTACTGGTCTTGCCTACAGTCCAGCTCTGATGTCAAATGAAAGCCAGATTTCTTTCCAGCTGTTCCAGGATGTAAACTTTATTCTGACTTTGACCTGCTGATTGTTGTCTCAGAGACGGTCACTGACCTCATTCTGCTTGGAAGGGAACCAATAAACCAACCTCAGGACCATAAAACACTCGTATAAAGACCAGAAACATCAGTCGTAGCTTTCTGTCTTACAGCTGAACAGGTTGTACTACGTTGGGTTTGCTTTATGGATTGTGTCAGAGGATTTCTGTCAATCTGGAAATCTGTCTAATGCTCAGACGATCGTCCACCAACAACCAGACTGTACAGTGAGCGAGGACAGCATGATAAAATAAGAAGTGAAACCTCTGGAGTGTGGATATAAAGTTGTGAAACAGGAAACCTGATGTATCACTCGATCAGAACAGTTTGAAACAGGACAGCACGGACCAGTGAGACTGCACGTGATCCTGTATTCATACTGTGTGTGTGTGTGTGTGTGTGTGTGTGTGTGTGTGTGTGAGCACCTACATTTCCTCCTCAGATACGTCAGCAGAGTCATCTCAGGGTCCGCGTTCCTCTCAACGATCTGCAGCACAAACAGAAGGTTCGACCATAATGCCTCGATTACCGTCTCTGGCGACACCTAAGAGTCCATTACTGTC